ATGTTGCATATTATCGACTCATGTGACGATGCAGGTACATAGATCATCGATGGCGAAGAAGTGCTACGCTAGGAATATACGACGAGTGGCCGGAGTGTCAGGCCCAGGTGTACCGGTTTCCGAGCGACAGCCAGAGAGGGTTCGATAGCAGAGCCGAAGTAGAAAATAGTTAGTTTAGGTTCACGCTAGTATGAGAGAGGGATACGAACCAACGCCTCAAGAAGTACTACATTATGTATGATGAGACATGTCATGTAACTTGTATAGCTATATCGCGATTATGATGTGACGACATGATTTGTGTTGGACGATATGATGAGACTATTATGTGTATGATATGATGAGCATATTGCATGTTTATGATATGATTAGAATAATGTATAAAACTTGTACAAAAACATCACAAATACGTAGCAAAAAAAGATATGTGAAAATATAATAGTAGCGCTCTTTAGTGCTGGACAGGAAAATGCTACTGGTAAAGCACTTAGCAGTAGCACTGGTATGGAAAGCACTACTGCTAAGTAGGTATAGCAGTAGTGCGTGTCAAAACGTGCTACTGCTAAACGTTAGCTGTAGCACCATATCAGTAGCGCGGTGCCCCGCACTACTGATAGCCCTTAGACCCGCGCTACCGCTAGGCTTTTCACTAGTAATGGATCCAACTATATTAACAAAGCTCGCACTACATCAAGATCGTGCCAAATCAAGAACAAGAGAAAGAGAGAGATCAAACACATAGCTAATGGTACATGCCCTCAGCCCCGAGGGTGAACTACTTCCTCCTTGTCATGGAGACCGTCAGAAAGATGAAGATGGCCTCCGGTGATAATTTCCCCTCCGGCAGGGTGCTAGAGAAGGTCTCCAGATGAGATCGCTTCAATATAGAGGCTTGCGGCGGCGGAGCGGAAGTTCTAGGTTTCTCTCTATTTATTTGGTATTTATAGGAATTTTTGGCGTTCATTTCACATCAAGGCTTGTTGCTTCCCCGTGAGTCTTCTGATCCTTCCTCGAAGTTTCGGGGGTCTCTTTTGGTCCACAAAGAATCACCGTAAAATTTCAGGCCAATCTGAGAATTTCTATTTCTGCACAAAAAACACCACCATGATAGTTATGCTGAAAATAGCGTTAGTCCGGGTTACTTTCATTCAAATCGTACCAAAACCATATAAAATTGTTGTAAACATGGCATGAATACTTCATAAATTATAGTTACGTTGGAGACGTACCACACCCCTCCACCACCTGCACCTCCGACACCTGCCTTTTACATCGCGCCGGTGGCGGCCGGACCTCGCCTGAGGTCGTACGTCAAGGTGGAGGTTTGCAAATGTTACTGGGAGACGGGCACGCCGCAGTCATGGGCCGATGTGCACCTCCCCAGTAACCGACATATCTCCGCCAATCAGGTGCCTATCCCAAAGATCTCGGTGAGCGGCCGCGCCCGGCACAAGGAAATCGCCCGCTGCCGCGCCCGCCTACTACCGGATCTCGTCAACGGCTCGAGGTACGCAACGAACTCACCTATGTGGGACACCTGGCTGCACAATGAGCACGATCTGCGCCGACAGTCGTTCTCCGGCGTTCGTGCTCCGAGCCCGCCCCGCGCGCGCCGCTAGCCCTCCCCAGCCACGCGGACGTAGGTTGGTCCGCGACCTAACGCCGCCGCCATCCCCGCCCCCGCCCGCTCTGATGACAACCGGGGAGGAGGAGGAGCTCGTGAGGCAGGTCATGGAGGACTCCCTCCACACCCATGACGAGGCCCAATGGCAGGGCCTCGAACAAATGATAGCCTCTTTGCGGCAGGCGACATCGCTATCTCGGAGTTTGACGTCGTGGTGAAGGAGGAGGCCATGAATGCCGTGCAGCAGCAGGAGGAGGAGCCCGCCCCGTGGAACTCGACGCTCGTCGGCCAGAAGTGGTCCTGGACGGAGACTGTCCCGTGCACGCCGGAGCTCGTTCACGACGAGGCCTGGTCACCGTCCCCACCACGGGAAGAGGTGGTGCAGGCACCAATACAGCTGCCTCCGGTTGCGCCCCCCGCTTGGCAGGGGCCGTCGGCCCACCTGTGGATGCCCCCGCTCTACATCGCCCTCACGGGCGATGAGGACGACGACGATGGTACTGAAGGCGACGACGACTACGACGAGCTTCTAGTTTTTTTATGTCATTTTAGTTTTTAGTTTGTTTAAGAATGTGCTGGACTGGACTTGAGCTGTTTTATGTAAATATTTAAGGGTTTTAAATTACTTTTCCAGTTCTATTTGTGTTAGATTTGGCTGAATATTGCTAGTCTTTTAAGAGGAAAATTTGGAAAGTTTCTAGTTTTATTTGGGTTAGCTTTGGCTGAATTTTGCTAGTTTTTTAGGAGGACAATTTGGGAAGGGCACTGATAGGCGCCGGCCGAAATTTTGGCCGGTCAACGCGCAGCCGCCCGATACAACTATAGCCAGCCGTCTGATTTGACCTTCCACATCGTCTACTTCCTCCCCCTTGATTATTTCTTCCCTCTCCCAAGCGCTGCCGCACCAGAGCCGCCGCCCAGCACGCACAAACCCCCGCGTCTCTCTCTCCCCTGACGACCCCCAACGCCGGTGACCTCGCCGGCTCGCTGCCGCTCACCATCCCCGCTCTCGGTCAGCCGCAGTTCCAGGCAAAAATACCAAGTTCATGGTTGCAGCAAAACGCGACTACAGTCCCAGCTATTCTCGACCGCGGTTCCAGCTCGGCGTGGTTACCATCACAGATGGCCGTGGACATGGTTACAACTCGTCGTGTTTCCATCGCAGCTCGCCGTGGTGACCGTCGTGCTCACCGCGGTGACCAGTTCCAGCAAAAATGACTCACGGTTGCAACTTGCCGGCCGCCGACTCTTTTTGTGCTCGCTGGAGCACCGTCGCAGCCATGAACGAAGGGTGTAGCAAAAACGTCGACTGGTAGTAGCAAAATCAGACATGGTTGAAGCTTTGAAAAAAATCCGGTTGTAGCAAACTAATTGGCCACATCCAGCGAAAAACTAGAAAGCAAAAAAAAATCCAAAATCTTGGTTGAAGTAGAAAAATTTGCCGATTCCAGCAAAATCAAAGGACGATGGTAGCAAATTTAAGGCTGGTTCCAGCAAAATCAAAAGAAAAATGAGTGGTAGCAAAAAATAGGACTGGTTCCAGCAAAAAATCCACCTCGTCAGGCTTCCCAACAAAAAATTGCCTCTTGCTTGTATCATCCCCCGTCACTGGTTCCAGCACTTTTGCTAGCCGGTTGCAGCAAAACCATGTGCTGGTTCTAGCATGACGTCCGCACAGTGATCGGTCATGTCCATCTTCGGCGAGAAATGGTTGTTGGGGTCAGGTCTCTGGTGAGAGATGGTTGTTAGGGATCTGGTGATTCAGGGCCGCGCGTTGGCCATTAGAGAGAGAAAGGAAAGGAGGACGCGGGGGGAGGGGGGCGGCGCCGTCGCCTCTCGTTTGGGATGGGGAATCGGAGCTGCAGCGACACTGGTGCGGGGTGGGGATCGAGTAGATAAGGAAGAAGACTGGCTCACGGGAGCTGCATGGGCCCCGACATCCAGGCATTTGGGCCGTGCATGGATGGCCAGGCTAAAAGTGGATGCTTCGACCGCAACAGCATCCAACGACACACGAGCGACCGGCCGAATGCTTCGGCCGGCGTGCCAACGCAAAACATTTACCATTTGGGAAGCGGCGGTTTGATTGGATGCATCTACAGTCGCACGACCGTAAATGAACGGACGTGTCTGTTTCTCTGTTCCAAACAGACGAAGACATCTAGACCTCATTCGGTTTGGAGGATTTTCGTAGGAAAAACATAGGAATAAGGATTCCAGAGGAAAATTTCCTATGTATGCATTCGGTTTGTAGGAAATGTGTGCAGAAATTTCGTAGGAATACTACTCATTTCCCGTGTTTTTGGAGGAAACTACACATCCACTCAAAGCTCATTTTACGCGTAGGAACGAGGCAAGTCAATTCCTTAGGATGGCAAGTGCCATCCTATCATATTCCTATACTACTCCTAATTCCTACGTTTTGATTTCCTCCAAACCGAATGAGCCCCTATTTATGCCTCTTTTGGTTCATAGGATAGGATTATCGTAGGAATAGAAATCTTGTAGGAAATGAGATGACATATATCTCAAATCCTATGAGTAGGAATAGGAAATAAGATGTCATTTGGTTGACACCAATTTTTTTTTCCATTGAGTCTAGGCTCATTTTTATTTTCCTATGAAATGTGAAGGATAGAAACCAATCTTATGTAGGAATAGGAATCCATTCCTATGAACCAAAGGGCTCTAAAGGAAAATCCTATAAAAATTCTATCCTCTAAAATTCCTATAAAATTCCTCCAAACCAAAAAAGGCCTCAGGGTGGTGAGTGGAGTTGCCCTAGCAACCCCGTACACGAAATCAATCGAAGCAAACATACACACACACACAAGCCCGTCTCCCGTCTCCTTCTCCCATAAGACCGAAGCCGAGGGGAGGTTTTATTACGAACAAACAGGGCATCAGCCCCCTTAAAGCCAGGACCAGGAAGCCAACACACACAAACACACACACCTCCAAGGCCAAGGCGATAGCGAGCGCGAGGGCGCCCCCGCCCGCGTTGGAGACGAGACTCGACGAGAGGGGCCGACGCGGGAAGGGAACCGCCGCGAACCCGGGGAGAGCAAGCCCGCGACGCCTCCGCCGGGAAGCACCGTCGCCGCCGCGGATCTCTCGATCTGAGGAGCCGCGTCTCGATTCCCCGCCCCGCAGGTACGAGCGCTACGATCCGGGGCCGCTTCAATCCGATTTGGTTCAATTCGAATTGCTTCTCATTGCTCTTGATTTGTGCTCTGCTATCTGCTTGCCTGGAATTAGGGTTTTGTGCGCGGCAGCGCCGGAGATGAGCGTGGAGAGCCCTGGGAGAGCCGCCGGGAGCTAGGGTTTTTTCGCCGTCGGAGCGCTGGACCGCCCCCGACACCCTCCCAGGTTTTCCATGGGAGATGGAGGAGTCGCGTGCGCCGTCCCGCCTCAGCGTGCAGTGGAGGGCTTCCGTGCCGACGCCCTCGTGAGGGGAGAAGCGATGCCAAACAAGGGGGAGAAAGCAGCGCACGGCCACCACCATCACCACCACCACCACCACCACCGCAAGCACTACTCGGCTTCAGCTGCCGACCTCGAGGAAGGGGAGCTGCTGCTCAATGGAGAGGCAGACAACACACGGGACTTGGACAGGACCATACCTCCCAAGAAATGGCGCAAGTTGCTGCCTTCCTCGCCAGCTGCAGAGTTGGAGCCGGGGGAGATTGTAAGCATGCCATCAGAGCCAACAAGGAAGATAAGGAGGAACGTGGAGCTTGACAAGACTGAGTTTGTGCCTGTGACGCAGAGGAAAGGTAAGTCTGACAAGATCGGGAGAAAGTCTAATAAAGATGTGGTGGAGCCAGCGGAGGTTACTCCACTGGGAAAAAAACGGGACCGGGATCATAGCGGCAAGACATGTTTGTCAGCTCACATCCGCGAGGATGGGAAGAAAGGCACTTCACAGGAGCCTGGTGAGATTAAGCCAGAGAGCAGCAGCACTGGCAGTGCTAGGAAGAGCCAGGCAGTAGAGCCCGAGAGCAACCACCGCAAACACCAAGCTGAGACATTCACTCAATCAGGGTCAAAAAGTCGAAGGAAGGGAGAGCCAAAGACTTCTTCTGGTGGGAAGCATTTGTCTGGAAGAAATCATGATATCTTGCCACAAATACGAGATCGGCATGATCGGCTTGAGAGGAGCCCAGGCATCTTGGGACGCTTTCCTCATGACCGCATTCGCCATGAGAGGAGCCCAGGCCGCATGGAGCGCTCCCCACGAGACCGGGACCGTGGTCGTCACTGTGATAACAGAGACCGCAGCCCGTACATTTCACCACGACACAGAGCACGCCAGGCCCATCACAGGGATAACACACCGAGCCGCATTGATAATTCCCCTCGTGGGAGGACTCAGCACGAGGACATCAGAGACCGAACTGCGCTCTCTCATGATAAATCACCATCTGAACGTGGTCGAACAACTGACATCCATGAAGCAAGTAAGAAGAGCAGGGGTGCTAAGCTTGAAAGCAACAACCTAGAAAATGTGCCGCACAAAAACAAGTCAATGAAGCAACCAACTAAGAGTAATAGTGGTAGCAACATAAAGAGTGAGGAGAGGATCTCCAAGGGGAAGGCATCCGAGGGCGTTCAATGCACTGAGTTGCTGCCACCACCTCCGTTGCCACCACCGCCGCCGCCTCCGCCTCCACCTCCGCCTTTACCACCTAATATGCCTCCTCCCCTGCCCCCGCCACCAGTACCTGAGCAGCTGAATGATCTCGCTGAAGATGCCTCAATGGAAGAAGACATGGATATCTGTGACACCCCACCTCACACCAGTGAAGCACCTGAACTCAGTACTGAGCCCACTATTATCATGGGAAAGTGGTTTTACCTTGACCAATTTGGTGTTGAGCAAGGACCTACCAAGCTTGCTGACTTGAAGAAACTGGTAGAAGACGGATATCTTCTTTCTGATCATCTAATAAAGCATGCTGACAGCAATAGATGGGTGACTGTTGAGAATGCAGCTTCACCATTGGTTCCATCTGATATTCCCTTGGTGTATGCGGACCTTTCTTCACAGAAGGTTAGCCCTCCAGAAGCCCCAGGAAATCTGCTCGACGAAGCTCGAGAAGGAGCAGCTTTGTTGGCATGGAGTGCTGAGGATGAAGAGGAAGCTTCTGAAGAACAGAAGGAAGATCTCTACATTGATAATAGGGTCGAGGCACTAATGTATGGAGCTACTATGGTGGATGGACATGAGCTTGATATTCTTGGAGGTAAAAACGTTTCTTTACTTTTTGAGCTGAACATTTAAATGCTTTTTTGATGTTAGTGGGCTGGGCTGGGCTGAGCTTGTTTTTTGGGCTTTTAGGGATTGTTTATTTTTGAGGGATTGTTTTTTGTTTTACAGCTTTTGGGGTTTCCGTTTCGTTATATCCTTTTGGGTTGCAAATTTCAGGGCCCTCGACTTTGGTAGTTTGGTTGTGCTCTTGCAGTTTGCACCGAATCTTGGAATGTTTAGGATTTCCACGTGGCTGGGTCTGGGTCTGGGCTCGGGCCTTATATGATGTATTATTCGTCCTCTTTTAGTGCTATTTTTTCGGTTGTAGAATCTTGTCCCTGACCTTGGGTTTTCTTGGATTTTTGTTGCATTTCTCGTTTTAGTACATTTGTATATCCATGATTTCTGTTTTTAGTCCGTCGGTATGAAAAGTGACAATTTCTGTAACTACCCTTGGGAAGTTCTGTATTAAGTCATTATTACATACTTCTGTTTAATTCGGGAAAAATAACAACCATTTGGATCAGGTTGTTTTACACTCTTCTTTGAAGGCAGTTTAAAAAAACAGGTGCTCCCTCCGAGCCATAATATAAGATGTTATTACATCGGTTGTAATAACATCTTATATTATGGGACTGAGGGAGTAGTAGTTGTGGATGTTAATTTTAGACTTGTATTACGTGGTGTGCAAATATAATCTTTTGAGGGTTGTAAATGCAAGTACAGAGCTTCCACATGCCTTAAAACAGAATCTATTGCTATCCTTTTGTTGTCTGGCTTTGATTCTCAGAGCTGTAATTGATGTGTTCCAGCAGTTACCCCTCATGATTATACTTATCCGGTGTCTTTCCTTGTTTGGAAATTGCAGAGGTTTTGGATGCACATTTTGAGCCTGTTGATTGGGAAAGGTGTAGTTACCCTGAAGGTATTGGATCAATCTGTGCTTGTTTATCCTTCGTTATTTTTTTACTCTTGCGCATTTTTTTTTGAAAGGATGCGCATGTAATTTCTGAAAGCTAGTGTATGTTGCTTTAGTTCTCCAGATGTTACTTGTCCTGAGGACACTACGTCTTACTCTGAAAACTAATCATTTACAACATGTACAAGGTGGAATGGTACCACCATCTAGTTCTTTGATTGCCCTTTGTTTTTTTGTTGACATACCGGGGTTTCTGTCTTCTTATGCCAGATTTTCCTAGGTTCCAAGGCCAACCTGCAAGAGATGATGGGATCAACAGAAGCATTGGATTCGTCAGTGGTGTTGGTCCTGTTGGGAGGGAAAAGTTTTATCATAATGTTGAATGTAGCGAGTGGTTTTCTGGTAGATGGTCTTGCAAAGGTGGTGACTGGAAGAGGAACGATGAATTCAACCAAGATAAGCCTTACAGGAAAAAGCTTGTCCTGAATGAAGGCTATGCTCTTTGTCAGATGCTGAAGGGCAATCATGAGGATCCCCGCTGGCACTGCAAGGAAGACCTCTACTACCATGTACCTGCTAAAAAGCTTGATCTGCCGTTGTGGGCATTCTCATCGACAGAAGAGGACACTGACAGTGTTGATGATGCCAGTGCTATTATACCTGGAAGGTTATGCCAGAATCAGATTAGACAACTTCCAAAGGGAGTGAAAGGGATGACGCTTCCAGTTGTTAAGATAAATGCTCGGGTTGTCAAGGATCAGTCCTCTGTCGAACCATGCATAAAGTCCAGAGCAGCTGAGCGGTCACTTTCTAGATCTTCACGCTCCCACTCAACTGGAACTGATAGGAATTCTGTTCATGAAGGTTTGTCTCATTTCAAGAAACATCATGAACATGATTTACAAAGTCTGCAGAAGTCCAAGTCTGTTCCAAACATCCCAGAGGACCATGTTTGCACTGTTGAAGAATTGTCAGTCAAACTGGGTGACTGGTACTACATGAATGGAACTGGACATGAGCATGGCCCATTTTCTTACTCTGAGTTGCAAAAGTTAGTTAAAAAGGGCACTATTATTGAACAGAGCAGTGTGTTCAGAAAGATTGATAACACATGGCTTCCAGTTGTTAAGGATATGAAATCTGAGTCTGCTGCTCGCGATGGAGGGCCAGGAAGTTCAGATTCTACTTCTGCTCTTGTGGAGCAGTCCAACACTGTTGTGAACCATGGAGCTGGTAGGTTCCATGAGTTGCACCCCCAGTTTGTGGGTTATACACGTGGTAAGCTGCATGAACTAGTCATGAAGTATTTCAAGAGCAGGGAGCTTACTTTAGCCATAAACGAGGTCTTGGATCCATGGATCGCAGCAAAGCAGCCCAAAAAGGAAATAGAAATGAACTTTCTTAACAATTCAGCTTCAAGGAAAATCCTGCCAGGTATTCCTTCATATCTAGTCTAAACATGCACTATTTCCTTACTTTCTGCCATTAATTGTGCTTCTCAGCTTACCATCATGTTGACTAGTCCTTCCAGTTGCACATGGCACACCTTATGTTAATTTCTATGCTATATTCATGCTATTGTTATAATTATGTCTGTTATGACAGTCGATCTTTGCAACAATTCCCTTTTTTGGCATTTCTGCAGAAGATGCTGGGTCTGTAAAAAGGGCAAGGCTGCTACCTAATCAAAGTGACGAAGATATCAATATGTATGAGGACATCCTTGCCAGTCAGAATGATGACTGCTCTTTTGAAGACTTATGTCATGATGCTGCTCTTGTTGAAGAGAACTCTACTAATTCCGTAGCTGGAAGTGACAGCTGGGGTTTACTGAATGTGCATGTGTTAGCAAGAATCTTCCATTTTCTGAGGGCGGACATGAAATCACTGATTTCTTCTGCAGCTACCTGTAAGCTCTGGAACACTGGTGTTCAGTACTACAGGAACACATGTAGATTCGTTGATTTTTCTTCTGTTGGCCTTCAGTGCACTGATTCTGTGTTTCATGGTGTTATGGTATGACTCCCTTCTCTGCTTAAACTTTGAGATGTTGTTTTTGTCATCTTCAAAGTTTCAACTTCTGACTCAAATTATTTATCTCCCTTTCAGGCTGGTTATGAGAAGCAAAATATAAGAACACTGATTTTAGTTGGGTGTTCAAATCTGAGCTCTCTTGCCCTTGGGGAAGTGCTAGTGCAGTTTCCGAACATATGTTATGTGCACATTCAGGGTTGCAGTCAGCTATGGGATATGAAAAGCAGATTTCACCATATTAAATGGATTAAGAGCTCTTTGAATCCTGAGGAGTCACTCCAGAAAATTAAAAGCCTGAAGCAGATAGATGATGGAAATGATTATGCATCCAAAGTTGCAAGGAACTTGACCAGTCAGCTGGGTGGTTCTGATGAACTTGACGGCTATTTTGCTGATATCTCAAATAGAGAGAATGCCAATCTTTCCTTTGGGCAAGGTTTCTATAAACGATCAAAATGGCTTGATGCTAGAAAGTCCTCTGCTGTTTTGTCGAAGGATGCACAACTAAGGCGTTTGATGCAGAGGAAGGCCGAGAATAGCTACCGGAAGATGGAAGAGTTTGTCATCAATAGATTGAGAGAAATCATGAAGAGCAGCAGATTTGATTTCTTCATTCCAAAGGTACATGACTTGCTCATGTTATAAGTTTTGCAAAAGTAAAAATTGAGCCTACTTAGAAGTTGAAGAAGTTGCGAGGCTAGCAGATAGAGGGCAAGAAAAAAAAACTTATGCACTTTTACTAAACCTAACCATGTTGCAGAGGGAGATGTAAAGGTTAAAAGTGTTCCAATGAGCATCGAGGATATACCTTTGTCTTTCTTCAATAGCTGTCTTCTTCCTTGGCAATGATTGTTTCATCTTCTCTTCCTTAAAAAAGGTCAGCGGCCTCAAAGCAGATAAGATCCTAAGATGCAACAATGACCCAATTATCTTTCAAAGAACGCCCGGATTACCTTGCAAACGAAAGAGGGAGGCTAATTGAAAAAATGTAGAACATTCTTAAGACTGGATTTAAGGAAACGCTTAGCCAAGGGGAGCTTACGTTGAATTACAGGTTGAAATGGTGTCTGCATGGCAGAATTTGTTCAGCCTGTCAACAAACTTACATGTTCCTGCTCCACATCTGGGATCTGCTTCTGTGTCCTCCAGATCGTCCATCGCCTTCCTCATCTCCCCCACTTTGCCATCGCCTTCCAGCAAACTTGTCTGCATCCTCTACACCATTTCATCAAATTTGGCTGTCAATTCCTCATCTAACTCACATTATCTCCCTGCTCACCTTGTCCACCGTACCGATTGTTCTTCCGTCCTTTCCATTACTCAATTGCACCGTGACACTGGCATCAATGCCATCCAACTTCACACCATTGTGACAACCGTTGTAGGTCCAGGTCTCTTAGTAGTACTGCCACAAGATGATGCCGGTGTGCTACGCATGCAGCATCCTCCTTCCCTTCAAGCGAGTCCGTCCATATTTTGACATGTCGCTAGGAAAGGCCTCATTGACTGGTGTACCATGCAGTAGACATGATACATCTTTAGCAAGTTGTAGCGTATCACCAACATGAACCTTATTTTCAAGAATCCTTTCCACCATGCACATGAATTGACTATTCAATACAGTATCCATTCCATCCAGGATATCCCCGACATCAGTGGGTGATTTAACTCGTAGAATCTTTGACATTTTTCACTAACAATATCTTTGTTTTACAGATTGCAAAAATTGAAGGTAGGTTGAAAAGTGGATATTATGCTCGGCATGGCTTTAGTTCTCTCAAGAACGATATTCGGTCTATGTGCCGTGATGCATTGAGGTAAAGTTGCTCAGTCTAACTGAGTTGAAGGTTTGCAGAGCAGGGTAAGTTTGTGATATTGCATTTTCTCACATTTGATTTGCTACTACAGATATAAAGGCCGAAGTGATTTGGGAGATATGAAGCAAATTGTTGTGTCCTTTATCCAGTTAGCAAAGAGACTCGGTAACCCACGATTGATTTCTGAGAGAGATGGAGCAGCAGCCCAGAAGGACAATTCTGACACGAGTCAATATTCTTCAGACGCAAAATTAAAAAAGAAACAAAATAAAACTACGGGGGAAAGGAGGGGAGCAAACTGGGCTACTGCCTCTGCTGGTGCAGATGCTTCATCCCGTGCCTTTGACCGTGAAATTAAAAGAAGCCTATCTAAATTAAAGAAAATGGATGTTGATTCTGGGAGTGAGACATCTGATGATGATGATGGATACTCTGAAGGTGATGAAACTGAGAGTGAAACTACTGTTTCTGATACAGAGAGTGACCTTGACTCAAATTCTGCAGCATGGGACTTAAGGGGAAATGGTATGAAGTTGTTTGAATCTGGTGACTCTGTCGGGGATGATCGTGGATGGGGTGCTCGCATGACAAAAGCAAGCCTTGTCCCTCCTGTTACTAGGAAGTACGAAGTGATTGAGAAGTACCTTATTGTAGCAGATGAGGAGGAAGTACAACGAAAAATGCGGGTTGCTTTACCTGATGACTACTCTGAGAAGCTGCTCTCGCAGAAGAATGGTACTGAAAATTTGGAGATTCCAGAGGTTAAGGATTATCAACGTAGAAAGGTACCTGGGGATGAAGTTCTTGAGCAAGAAGTATACGGCATAGATCCATACACACATAATCTCCTGCGTGACATTATGCCAGCCGACGTTGGCTTGTCATCTGCTGACAAACATACCTTTATTGAGGAGGTATTGTAACTGACAAAGATTTTTTTTTTCATTTTAGTTCATTTGCTGGGATGCTTTGGACTCACATAGATATTGTGATTGCAGCTGCTTCTGAATACTTTGAATAAGCAGGTTCGGGATTTCACTGGTTCTGGAAATACTCCTATGGTTTACCCCCTTAAACCTGTCATCGAAGAAATCCAAAAGTCTGCAGAGGAGAGTGGTGATAGACGAACTGCAAAGACGTGCCTTGGAATGCTGAAGGCCATGAGGAGCCGCCCTGAACATAACTATGTTGCTTATAGAAAGGCATGCATTCAGCAACACCTTATTCATTAATGTTTGCATACCATCATAACTAGACGGTCCTATCTTAACTTTCCGCACATTCTTTCAGGGTCTTGGAGTTGTTTGCAACAAAAAGGGTGGATTTGGCATGGATGACTTTGTTATTGAGTTCTTCGGGGAGGTGTGTTCTAACTGTATATCCAATGTTTCTAGAATTAATCCATATCATATAAAATCATAATGATTTATATATTTGTAACCTTTGCAGGTTTACCCTTCTTGGAGATGGTATGAAAAGCAAGATGGTATTAAACATATACAAAACAACAGTGAAGATCAAGCTCCTGAGTTTTATAACATTATGTTAGAAAGACCAAAGGTATTTTCCATTTTAAATTTTTTGATGCCATCCAAGTATCTAATCTGTGAGTGAAGACATCGTGAGGAAGGGTTATTACAGATGACTGATCTTTTGCCTTTGTTATGATGAAAGGGGGACCGTGATGGATATGACTTGGTTTTTGTTGATGCTATGCACAAGGCTAACTATGCAAGCAGAATCTGTCATTCATGTAACCCCAACTGTGAAGCAAAGTAAGCCCATTAATCTCCAGATTTTTACGACACAATGATTTCCTTTTTCACTACACATGACTCTATGCTATCTGTTTTCAGTGTTGACCTGAATTTCTTTTACACCCATTTGTGAAAGAGGTTCACTGATCCAAAGTTCAAGCATATACTCCCTCCGTCCCAAAATTCTTGTCTTAGATTTGTCTAAATACGGATGTATCAAGTCACGTTTTAGTATTAGATACATCCGTATCTAGACAAATCTAAGACAGGAATTTTGGGACGGAGGGAGTACTTTTTAAATGATCAACATTGATAGGAGCTTGACTTTGCTGTTGTGCAAGTCCTTTACCTTTATACAACTGCTTTGTCATTCCTCCGTTCTTCAAAAGTTTTATGAAATTTTGTCATCGTTTTATCATGTGGTGGTTAATGCATGTGCATTAGAACTTCAATAGCGAATGGGCAAAACTATTCCTGTGTTGTTCCGTGTTTAATGCGTTAAGCATTTGCAGGTATTTTTTCTCACACTTCTTATATTAACTAGTGCTCCTTAATTTTATTTTCCAGAGTGACTGCTGTGGATGGTCAATACCAGATTGGAGTCTACACTGTTAGGCCGATTGCAGAAGGCGAGGAAATCACTTTTGATTACAACTCTGTGACTGAGGTGAGCATCACATTGTGTTCCTGCATAAGCTACGTTTTAAGTTACACTACTTTAAGTTTACATTCTTGTTCTGCTAGAGTAAGGAAGAGCATGAAGCATCGGTTTGCCTCTGTGGAAGTCAAGTATGCCGGGGCAGCTATTTAAATTTTTCTGGAGAGGGAGCTTTCGAGAAGGTAAACTTTTGCAAGCATTCTGGTTGATGGTTCAAGGGTGACTGTGGTTTACCTAATTCCTAAACACTATTTTCCTTTATTTATTTTGCATCATTTTGACATAATCACATCTGCTAACTTCATCGTCAACCAGGTGTTAATGGAATTCCATGGTGTGCTTGATCGACACAGTTTGCTGCTACAGGCTTGCGAAGCAAACACTGTCTCCCAACAAGACTTGATTGACTTGGGTAGAGCTGGTCTTGGTACCTGTTTGCTTGCTGGTTTGCCTGGGTGGCTTGTTGCTTACACGGCCCAGCTGGTAATTTGTAGTTCTCTTTCTTGTTCAATTTCTCTTCCGATGCGATAACCAGTTTCTGTGCTCATGGCAACTTTTCATGTAAATGAAAGGTGCGGTTTATATTCTTCGAGAGGCAGAAACTTCCTAATGAGATCTTTAAGCACAACATGGAAGAGAAACGCCAGTTTTTTACAGATATAAATATGGATTCCGAGAGGAATGATGCTGAGGTTCAGGTAGATGCTGATGGCTTCGCTTCACCTCGTGTTTCTTTGACTTGCATGATATGATCTAATTCTGTCTCTACACGCAGGCTGAGGGTGTATTAAATTCTAGATTACAGCATTTAACTCATACACTTGATAAGGTGGGTAATTATTTTTAATTACTTGGAACTTGTTCTGCAGTAGCAAAAATTATATATTATCATCGATAAACCCAATAAGAATCTTTTGCTTGATCTTTCTATTGATTTTTTGACGATATGTTATCTTTAGGTAAGGTATGTTATGAGATGTATATTCGGGGACCCCAAGAATGCCCCCCCTCCTCTGGTGAGGCTTACCGGGAGAAGTCTAGTGTCTGCCATCTGGAAAGGGGAAGGCTCATTAGTTGATGAGCTCCTTCAGTCAATTGAACATCATGTTGACGAAGATGTACTTACTGATCTCAAGGACAAAATTCGGCTTCATGATCCATCTGATTCTGAAGACATCGAGGGAGACATCCGAAATTCTCTGTTATGGTATGTTTGAAATCTGACTCCTCAGCTCTAATTATCCAAATTTGGATTCTGACTCCCTTCTACAGGTTGCGTGATGAGTTGCGAACTCTTTCATGCACATACAAGTGCCGTCATGACGCTGCTGCTGATTTGATTCACATGTATGCTTACACAAAGTGTTTCTTCAGAGCCCGAGTAAGCGAAAGCTTTCTGTCTTTCTCTCAGTCGCGAAAAAATGCTTGTGATTTTGTTTATCTGTACTTGAAGCTGACCCAACTAACACCACGTACAGGACTACAAGACCGTAAAGTCTCCACCAGTTCATATCAGTCCTCTTGATTTAGGTCCCAAATATGCTGATAAACTGGGACCAGGTTTCCAGGAGTACAGCAAGACGTACCCAGAGAACTATTGCTTAGCACAGCTTATCTATTGGTACAGCCAGAATGCAGAACCCGAATCTAGACTGACAAGAGCTAGAAAGGGTTGTATGTCATTACCAGATGTGTCCTCTTTCTATGTAAAGTCTGTAAAGCCAACTCAAGAGCGAGTTTATGGCACCAGAACTGTGAGATTCATGCTATCACGGATGGTAAGTGCTACTTCTTCAAGATTAATGCATTTGTCTGATGGCGTGTTTTGTAGTGGCTGTTGTGGTTCGACTTGGTCATAAATGTAATGACGTTGTTGATGGTTGATTGACAGGAGAAACAGGCCCAACGTCCATGGCCGAAGGACCGGATATGGGTGTTCAAGAGCGACCCAAGATTCTTTGGCACTCCAATGATGGATGCTGTGCTGAATAACAATTCTCCTCTTGATAAGGAGATGGTGCATTGGCTAAAGACAAGATCGAACGTTTTCCTAGGGTAGTCAAAAGGATAGTAGGCAGAGGGCATTGGTTTTTCTCTTCGGAGATTTTAGTCAACGACATTCTTTTTTTCCTACTCGCCTTACCTACCTAATCATGGGGGATAGCTTTTAGATGGCAGGTTGTACAGTCACCACTCCCTCCCTCCCTCCCTACCTAGCTGTAGAGATGTATTCGGTTAATAACTGATGGATCACAGATCATCATCGATTGGATGTAGCGTCTTTTCCTGTTGCATAGAATTGTTCGCCTGCTTATGGGCTGATGATGTACTTGTAAATGCAAAACAGATGCAATCTTAAATTCAGCAATGTGTTACAGCTTGCGGTGCTGCATTTCTGTCTCCCTTGAGCCTTGAGCGATTGTGCTAACACAAAACTTACATGTTTCTCATTTTATTGAGTTTTTTTCTCTTTGCGTGGAAAAAACTTGTATTACTCGTCAAATGTTGTTGCAATCATTGTTGCATAGCTGTGCAACACCCATAGGTCCACTGCCTAGCCATATACTTGCCGTTTTACAGATTTTAGGGGCTGTTTGGATTTCTACCAATGCCGACCCTACCAAAAAATTTGGCTTGCCCGTGCGTTTTGGTGCCTGTTTGGATCAGCGCCGAAGAATTGGCTCGCCCAGCTTGCCCGGCTTCCGTCCGTGTTATTCGCGCCAATTCGTGGGCGAAACGAGTTATGCTGATTATTCTGGCTCGTAACTAGCGACCCTTTTTACTCACAGGCATTTGCGTCGTTACCGGCTGCATGCAGCAACCAAATACTAGTACAAATCTGCATGCAACATGGTGCCGCGCAATTAGCGACTTCCAACTGTAGTATCTCGCTCGTGTAATTCTCTTGGCTACCTTTTTTTCACATTGACCGCATCTACGTTTTAATCTGTGTATTTTTAAATTTCCAATAATAGATGCATTTAAATATTTTCAAAACTAGTACCTGAAATTTGAAGGATATAATGGTCACAATCCAAACAACAACACATTGCCAAAATTTTGGTCATGCCCTTGCATTGGTCATGCCAAAATTTTGGTAGGGCAAATTGGGGCTCAAACCAAACAACCCTTTAATATAGACTACATACAGATGTATATAGACATATTTTAGAGCGTAAATTCACTTATTTTGCTTTGTATGCAATTCATATTAAAATCTCTAAAAGGTCTTATATTCAGCAATGGAGGGAGTAGCAACTAGACTAAACAATCTAGCATAACTAGCCATAAAATGGCTTACAGAGTTCTATCAACGCCGAACATGAGTGATACAATTTTCTCTTTCTAACAACTTCGGTTTGATCTTTCGAACTAAGAAGACATATCTTGATGGGTCTTTTACATCTGTATCCCTAACTCGAACTCACTACTCACATTTGCCCCTAATTCGCAAGCCTGCTCAAAAATACCCCTCCGCCGTCATGTTCCCTTATAGAATTGCCCTTCCGTGACGTTTCCGTCCAGTCAAGGCTGTTTGACTGGTAAGCGGCCGTTTCTTTGACATTTTTGCCCCTCCGTCCTTACACATGGGCCCAGGCCACCAGTTCACTCTCTCTCCCTCTCATTCTCTCGCCCGAGCCGCACGCTCTCTCTTTCTCCCCCAAATCGCCTCCCGCCGTAACCCTAACCCTAGCTCGCTCGATCCAACTCGCAAGGCTCGATCTCCTGATGGCAGCTACGGTGGAGCTTCAGATTTGACTCTGCACGGCACTCTACTATGGTGGTGGCGGCGGCAGATGGATGGGGATAGCAGTTGCGGCGGCGGCGACGAACGAGGGAGCACACCGCAGCCACAGAAGCATGCTTCGGCGGGGTAAGTTTCTCTTCTAATCTGGCGGAGTCTCATGCCATTTGTAGTTCGATTTGGGATCTGTTGACCTAGTTCATAGAGGCTGTTTGGATGACGCCCCAGGACGCCCTGCCAATTCGTGGGCAAAGCCAAAATTTTGGCGCAGCTTTCAGCCGCCCGCGACCCTGCCAACTTTGGCGAGAAAATGAACTGGGGAAGCCCCCCACGGCCTGGGCGAGCCAACTATTTGGTGGCCATCCAAAGGAGCGCCAGCACTTGGTCAACTACCAAATTTTTGGCTTGGCAGCTCCAGGCTCCAATCCAAACAACCCCATAGTGCTCATGGCGTTGGGATCTGTCTCTGTTTCCATGGTCATCGTAGGATCGACCCCGATAGAGCAGTTGGGATGGAATGTAGAATGGAAACCACACTTCTAGCTAGAGCTGTCACAAAAGCAACCAATACAAGATTCTCTTTTCCTTTTGTTGCTGACAATCAATGGACTTTTAATCAGTTTAGATCTGCCATATGTGCTCAATATCCATGGGGTCTATATGATGCAGTGGAATTCAGGTACTGGGACATTGACAAAACAGCTTGGGTCCCTGCCCAGTGTGATGATGAGCTTGGTATCATGTTTGCAATACATGATTCTTTCCCTGCTAAACTAGAAATCAGTGTCATACAAAGGAAGAGAGGAGAGCCAGAGAGCAGAGGAACAAGATCTCAGTCTAGGTCTAGAGATAAAGGTAGGACCAGCCAATCAAGGGGCACGAAAAGAAATGCTCATAATAGAGGCAACAACAGTTCAATGCAGGCACCAGGAACACCTGATGTAGAAGTTCCTAATAATGCAGGTCCCTCTCATAGTAGAGATTCAGTTGACCCCTATACTGAAGAGGGACTACCAGATGATTGGCCAAGTGATGATGAGGATGAAAAGTTGTTTCCACAGTTTGTAACAAGGAAGAAGGGCAAGGAGAAAGATGATGAGGGGGAAGATTATGTTCAACCCCCTGAAGGCATGTTTGATGTTCTCATTTCCTTTTTTGCTGCATTTAATGTTCTCGTTTCAATTGTAGCCCAAGGAAGAACTACAAAAAGGCAGCTGATAGAGGGATGTCACTAGCCAAGAAGAGACTCAAGTTTGCACCAGATCCTACAGTAAGATCTGTAACTGGAAGCAACCAGCTAAGAAGTGAGCAAAACTATCACCACAAGGAGGAGTTCGAGGCTCTTAACAAACCCTGCTTGCAACACCAGGAGCAAGAAGATGAAAGACCTGTGACTGGAATCATTTACTGCTGTTTTTGTTGTTTAACAACTATTTGTGAACTTGTTATCTGCTATCTTAAGTGTGTGATGCTGAAATTGTGAACTTATGTAATGGTGAACTTGTGAGCTACTATCTTGAATGTGCAATGCTCCTTTTGAATATTATGTGAGCTGCTATCTTGTGAGATGCTATTTTGTGAGTTGCTAGTTTCAAATATTTTTGTGAGCTCCTATTTTGTCACAACATATCATTTGTTCAAATATTTCAATCTATGCTATTTCAGTCATCGATCAAAGCAAGATTCTTGAGTCATTTCCAAATAGCAACATCACAACATTCCCAAATCACAGCATTGTCCTGTGATAATACATACCCACACCAAGCTCCATCACAACATACACTACAAAGAGAAATCCAATTTAGTATGGATTATTGGACCACCTAGAAACAAATGTGGCCACAATGCTAATACCAAGAACTATGATAAATCCCCATGCTTGCATAAGCTCGTTCCTCTTTTTCATCTTCAGCTTCAGTTTCTTGTTCTTCTCGGTTAGATACATCACCCTCCTCTCTAAATCATGAGATTTTAGCCAGCTCTTCTCCAATCCTACATGAAGCTCCTCAAATGCACGAGCAACACGTTCGGTCGGTGGCGGTTCAATCCATACAACCCACTCACATTCATCAGGAAGCTGCAAAATCAATGATCGAATTAGAAAGAGGGGAATGAGCAGAATCGATCAAGCTTAAAAGCCAAACACTTACATCAAGAGGGCAGCCGAGAAACCTTCTGCCAGAGCTTGCTCCTCCCCAGGTGACACGACGAGCAGGAATAAGCCCGTGGCCAGGGCACCGCTGCATCGAGCGAACCTCAAGGCCACAGAATGTCAGATCGGGGATGTAAAACTCCGATTGAAACTGAACTATCCTAACACCATCAACCTAACAGCAGAAAAAAAACCCAAATTGATGAACCCTAATTTCGCAATATCCCCATATCTCCCCCAAATCGACACTGAAACTTACATTGGCGGCCACCGACGAGCTCGTAGAAGACATCCCTGCCGTGCCCGACGTAGACATCACTCACCATGCCGTGCCTGACCTGCCGCTCTCTCTCTGACTGCAGAAACGCCAGATCCAGTACGTGCTAAAAAATGCCCCTGTCGTCGCGAGGAAGAAGAAAGAGGGGAGAGAGAGTGAACCGGTTAGTTGGGCCCAGATGTACGGCAGGAGGGGCAAAAATGTCAAAGAAACGACACGTTAGCGGTCAAACAACCTTGACTGGACGGAAACGGCTCGGAGGGGCATTTCTATAAGGGCACATCACGGCGGAGGGGCATTTTTGAGCAGGCTTTGGAATTAGGGGTATATCTGATTAGGTGGTTCGAGTTAGGGACAGAAATGCAAATGGCCCTATCTTGATCTATCTTGCTTCTCATTTTTCATCATATTATGGCTTCCATACAATCATATTCCACATTGATAGAGGCGAGGGTGTCCCGATCTTTTGATGAGATGATAACTCTCGATTTGGTGGAGTCAACTTTGACGATCCGACTTCAAACATGCATGACGTTGCGCCTTAGCAATCGCTAAACCAATCTCCTGAGGTTACTGACGATGCTGGAAGCACGATCAGCCTGACCACGAAGGTCTATTCCTGCAATCAATCAAAGAACAAGCAAAAACATGATAATGCAATCTGAATATTGCAAATATAGATGAAGTATTGATAAAGGTGGGGATCCGAAAGCGGTCTTGGTCTGGTCGTTGGACACAAACGAAGTACACGAAGTTGCAATGGCTAACTTTTAACTAAACAAATCCCAAGGAAAAAGCTACTAGATGGATCTATTTATATAGAAGCAAGGGATGGTGGCCAAGGAGGTGGGAGGACATCCCAAGGCAGCCTAAAACTAACCCTAGGTTGTACAAGGCTCATGGGCCCAAGTGGAGGTGGTGCAACACCTTTGGACTTGTTGTTTGACTCGGATTCTGCTGCAGCATCAAATTGTTTCGTCGATATCTCAATGCTCTGGACGAATTTGAAGGTGATTCCAAGTTGGTTGGAAAGAACACGAAATCTACTTTCCAACAAAAAAAGAATCACCCAATTCGGAGTCCGTATAAAAAAGTTGTTGACGTTTTGAGTCAGGTATGTCTGTGCAGTCCGAATCTGAATCCAGAACGTGAGAGACTTGGACTCTATCTTCTCTTGGCCCAAAAGTGACGTGAGAGGACTTTTTGAACAGAACCTAAACTTCTCCTTTTCCCATATCTTCATATGTGGATTGTAAAAATATCCCGTACACCTGCAATTAGACAAAACACAAAAGTGTGTGAAGTATTTTTGTTCTGGATAACATAAATAGATTATTGAATAGTTTGCACTAGAAATCACCTGACAAATATGCATGTATGCAATATTTTTGGTCGTATCCAAGGTAGTCATGTCCTCATAACACATGAAGCGAAAGATTGCTCCGAGGGAAATTCCTCCAGAAAGAGTATTTAGTTCTATTTCAAGCACATCATGGCATGATAAACGATATAACAAGCAGTAAATATGATCTTCCCTTAAGTATCCCGAAGGACCATGCCTGTTGTTGTGGATCCATTCTAGGCAAACGATCCATCAGTGTTCTTCACGGAACCTTGTTTTGGTGGTGTCCAGGAAACCTTTTATTGAGTTAGAGCTAAGCCTTGGGGGCCAAGGCATAGGGGATGGTTAGGGTTTGGCGCACCCCATCTCCCTAGGAGAAGGCAACCCCTCTTCCCAGCATTGGCCCTCCCTTGTGCCTATAACTATGCGAGGAGGAGCCCTCCAACACATCCTTTTGTGCTTGGAGGCTGTTGAAGGAAATATGCCCTAGAGGCAATAATAAAGTTGTTATTTATATTTCCTTATATCATGATAAATGTTTATTATTCATGCTAGAATTGTATTAACCGGAAACTTAGTACATGTGTGAATACATAGACAAACAGAGTGTCACTAGTATGCCTCTACTTGACTAGCTCGTTGAATCAAAGATGGTTAAGTTTCCTAGCCATAGACATGAGTTGTCATTTGATTAACGGGATCACATCATTAGAGAATGATGTGATTGACTTGACCCATCCGTTAGCTTAGCATGATGATCGTTTAGTTTGTTGCTATTGCTTTCTCCATAACTTATACATGTTCCTATGACTATGAGATCATGCAACTCCCGAATACCGGAGGAACACTTTGTGTGCTACCAAACGTCACAACATAACTGGGTGATTATAAAGGTGCTCTACAGGTGTCTCCTATGGTGTTTGTTGAGTTGGCATAGATCGAGATTAGGATTTGTCACTCCGATTGTCGGAGAGGTATCTTTGGGCCCTCTCGATAATGCACATCAATATAAGCCTTACAAGCAACGTGACTAATGAGTTAGTTTCGGGATGATGCATTACAGAATGAGTAAAGAGACTTGCCGGTAACGAGATTGAACTAGGTATTGAGATACCGACGTTCAAATCTCGGGCAAGTAACATACCAACGACAAAGGGAACATTGTATATCGTTATGTGGTTTGACCGATAAAGATCTTCGTAGAATATGTGGGAGCCAATATGAACATCCAGGTTCCGCTATTGGTTATTGACCGAAGACATGTCTCGGTCATGTCTACATAGTTCTCGAATCCGTAGGGTCCGCATGCTTAATGTTCGGTGATGATCGGTATTATGAGTTTATGTGTTTTGATAAATCGAAGGTTGTTCGGAGTCCCAGATGTGCTCACGGGCATGACGAGGAGTCTCGAAATGGTCGAGACATAAAGATCGATATATTGGAAGCCTATGTTTGGACATCGGAAAGGTTCCGAGTGAGTTCGGGCATATACCGGAGTACCGGGGGGTTACCAGAACCCCTCGGGGAGTATATGGGCCCTAATGGGCTTTAGTGGAGAGAGAGAGAGAGAGGCAGCCAGGGCAGGCTGCGCGCCCCCTCCCCCTCTGGTCCGATTTGGACTAGGAAGGGGGGGGGGCGCCCCCCTTTCCTTCCTCCCTCTCCCCCTTCCTTCTCTCCTAGTCCAACTAGGGAAGGGGGGGGGGATCCTACTCCCGGAGGGAGTAGGACTCCTCCAGGGCGTGCCATAGAGGGCCGGCCCTCCCCCCTCCTCCACTCCTTTATATACGGGGGAGGGGGCACCCCATAGACACACAAGTTGATCATTGATCTTTTAGTCGTGTGCGGTGCCCCCTCCACCATAATCCACCTCGGTAATATCGTAGCGGTGCTTAGGCGAAGCCCTGTTCCGGTAGCAACATCATCACCGTCATCATGCCGTCGTGCTGATGAAGCTCTCCCTCGAAGCTCTACTGGATCGTGAGTTCGCGGGACGTCACCGAGCCGAACGTGTGGAGATTGCGGAGGTGCCGTATCTTTGGTGCTAGATCGATCGATCGTGAAGACGTACGACTACATCAACGGCGTTGTCATAACGCTTCCGCTTACGGTCTACGAGGGTACGTAGATAATACTCTCCCCTCTCGTTGCTATGCATCACCATGATCTTGCGTGTGCGTAGGATTTTTTTTGAAATTACTGCGTTCCCCAACGGTGGCATCCGAGCCAGGTCTATGCATAGATGTTATATGCACGAGTAGAACACAAAGGAGTTGTGGGCGTAGGTATATACATATTGCTTGCCATTACTAGTTGATTTTTGATTCAGCGGCATTGTTGGATGAAGCGGCCCGGACCGACATTACGCGTACGCTTATGCGAGACTGGTTCTACCGACGTACTTTGCACACATGTGGCTAGTGGGTGTCTGTTTCTCCAGCTTTAGTTGAATCGGATTCAATGAATA